GCTAAGCCACGGGGCCGGCCCCCTACATTTTGTTATTCTACATTTAGGGCCCTTATTCTACATTTGAAATCATCAATCACAGTCACTCGTATGTTTATGAGACAGGTTGGTGTCCTGGAAGGGCTTTGGGTTGGAACCCTGAGGCCAGTCAGCTGTGCAAACCAGCATGTCTCGTAACTGCATTTTCCTTTTCTGTAACATGAGGATAATGAAACCAAACGTGGCAGAGTTTTTGTGAGGAAGGAAAGTGCCTATCATCTCACCTGGCACACAGGAGCCACCCCCTAAGTGGAAGCTGTTTTATTATTAGCACTTTATGGTTTTCAAAGTATTTTTTCCCGCATTACCTAATCCTTACTGAACTCTTGGTTTTGGTGGGTGGACATGATAGGGAGTGGAGGAGGCAGGTTGACATGACCAGGTATGTATAATATTTCCATGTATTAGGCACACGATCCTTTGTCCTCCTGGTCTATTGGAATGCCACCAGTTGCTAGACTCTGGGGTTTTGTCACTACAGGGGGATCTGCAGTCTTCATCCAGTGGCGGCTTCTCTGCTTAAAAGATAAGACACGCTACTCTACAGTCTTCCAGCTGGAATCTTGCCACAGTCCCCTGCAAATTGCCAGGATAGCCGCTAGTAAAAAGTTGTGTTGTTGGGTAAATACCCGGAAGTGGAATAGTTGGATCATGTGGAATTTGTATTACCATATGACTTCACTCATATGTGAAATATAAACAAACACACACACAGATAGGGAAAATAGATGGACACAGATAGGGAGAATAGATGGGTAGTTACCTGAGGGGAAGCAGGGGGAGGGTGAAAGGGGTAAAGGAGCACATGTGTACGGTGACAGATGATGGCAACTAGATTTTTGGTGGTGAACACGATACAGGCTATACAGAAGTCGAAATATAGTGATATACACCTGAAACTTACATAATCTTATAAACCAATGTGACCTCAATTAAAAAAAACTATAAAAAAGTTGTCGTTAATATCTTGCTTAGTATAAAGTTTTAATTTTATTTTTTTATTTATTTTTCTCCCAAAGCCCCAGTAGATAGTTGTATGTCACAGTTGCACATCCTTCTAGTTGCTGTATGTGGGATGCGGCCTCAGCGTGGCTGGAGAAGCGGTGCGTCAGTGCACGCCCGGGATCCAAACACGGGCCGCCAGCAGCAGAGCGCGAGCACTTAACCGCTAAGCCACGGGGCCGGCCCCTAGTATAAAGGTTTGAGGGTCTTTGGTTTATGAATTTCTCTCTCCTATTTAACATAACTGGAGATGAGCTATCCTGGAATATAGCCAATGAACTGAAAGGCAGAGCGGGAATGAGAACGTTTTCTCCTAGCACTTACGTTTCTCCATCTTGTGTGTCTGGCTTCCGATCTTAGGTTCTTGAGTGTTCAAACAACAGCAACAGGAATTTAACCCTTAAATTTCTTGGCCACTGACTTTCATCAGATTGTTATTTTGGTTAATAAATGTATATATATATCGAACAGAACATATACCTCTTTCATTTCTTAGAAAAGTAAACAGTAGTGTAAGAGTTAGCCTTCAGACTGGGGCAGGGTGGTGTAAGCATGTTCCCGCAGTGGAGATTAGTTTAGCCAGGGTAAGGCTTGAAAACATTAAGATGCATGATCTCTTTGCTCTCTACCCCTTTGAGTTTACCAAGAGAGACTGACAGGCTGTTGCTCGCTTTTGCTGGCCAAAGAGATGTCTGTGCACCTTTCTCAGACGCACAGTCACTTCTAGTAACAGGAGAGGGGCTCCTGCAAAATTTAACTTTCCTTTTTTCTTGTGCCAAAAACAACTGCGCTTTACAAATGGCCTAAGCTGGAGGAAGACTCTCAGACACTCTCCTTGTTCTGGGCTCTGAGTCCAGGAGTGTGATACAGAGAGCTCTCAACCTGTGACCCAAAACAGAGCTGACTGTGAGGCAGCGTTGTGTTTTAGCCTTTCTCTACGTGTTTTCCTTCTCCTTTTCATCTGGAGTACACACAGAAGACACCCACAAAAGGTCTCAGTAGACACATGTCGCCGTGTCTTAATTCTGGTCTTAACAAAGAATATCCTTTATTTTCAGTTA